TATTATTAAATAAGTAAATACATTTAGTATCATAACTCTTATTGGAGTGTCTATATGGTCTAATGCCAATTTTTTCATGGAAATAATTAATTAAGATCATGCTTTAAAGCATTTTTTACATATAACTTTTAAATTACGACAGTGATATAGGAATAACTTTTTAATATAATTTTTTTATATAACATTTTTATATAATTTCCACGTATCTTTCAATGAGTGAATATACTTGATATTATAGATTCTAAATAAATAAATAAAAATTAATTATTTAAATGACATATAAGGTTATACAAAAAGTACAAAAATGTTGTCCCTAAATCATTTTCCTTTAAATTAATATTTGTCTAACATATACTTTAAAAAATATATGATGAGGTAATATTAATTGCACTTTTTAACATTTTATTTTTTTGGAAAATCACAAATATTAACTTTATTTTTATCACCAATTCCACTTGTATATTTTTAAGGGTTAATTTATCTATCCTATGCCCCTAGTAATAATTGTGTAATTATTATTATTATTATTTATCTTAAAAAAATAAAATAAAATTTATTTTAATTACAAATATCACGTGCTAATTTCTTATTCGTTTATTTTGAAATTAAAATCAAAGCTTATTTTTTAATATAAAATTTGACATCTTTTAAGAAAAAAAAAATAATAGTTATTAATCAATAATTACTTTTTATCTTATGCGCTTAGGGTATAAGATAGACAAGCTATATTTTAATTAGATGATTATGTAATAAAATTAAAGTTACTTTCTAGTTTTTTAAATAAAAATTAATTAAAACTTTTTAAAATGGCAGAACCCTCAAATCACCCCTTTAAAAATATGGGTAGGGACGGATCCACCCTAAAAAAAAAAGCAGGGATAAATGGCCCCACAAAAGTATCGATTTATCCAAATCAGTCATTATTTAACAGATGGCGTCATCACCATCACGATCTCTATTTAGCCCGTGCCAGCGTGTCGTTTTTTGACATGCTAGATGTTGATGTGTACCAATCCCGCTCTTTTCATACACCATGTCACCCTTTATTCCCCTTTCCTTCTCATGGACCCCATTTAGCCCTAAAAAAGGAAGAAGGAAAAACTCCGTCTTCGCTCTAATTTGCAGCGAAAAATCGAAGACTCATTTATCAAAGAAATCTTTGAACCAATTCACTTTTGAGTATGGGACGAGAGTCGGCTCAAGTCTTTTCTGGCGAATCTCAAGAAAATACTGAAGCTTTAAAAAGCCCTCGCACACTCAGTTGGTAGTGGGGTTCAAGGTGAAGGACAAAGTAAAGGTAAGCCTTTGCAGTCGCTTTCTCTTGGAAAATGTTTGTTTATAAAGTTTTCTACTTTGTCGTTGACTATAAGTGTTAAATGCATGTGCATTTTGTCAATTATATAATATATTTTATCATTGATGGACCACATTAATTTTGGTTTGTGTTACCATTGACCAGAATGGCAGATGATTACTGGGGGGTTTTGTCCGTTTTCCATGGGGGGACATTCGTGGCTGGACCTCCATTTGAGTACAATGGGGGAATATGTACAGAATAGGCATTTGACTGTGATATGTTGAATGTTGATGTCATCATGGATTTCATTGTAGGTTTAGGATATGAGGATGTTATGATTAAAAATGTTTACTACAAAAGAATGTTAGCAACCATGCCTAGGCATTTAAAGTGTTTGGCAGGTGATGATAGTATTAGGGATATTATGAGGATTGTCAAAGAAGAGATGATATGTGAGTTTTATGTGGACCATGAGGTTAATTTTGCTGAAATTGCTCCTCTACCAATAGGTTGGATTGATAATGATGTAGTTTATGAGGATTGGGGACCACAAGATAAGGTAGGCCAGAATGGTAACAATGAAGTTAATGAGGGAGAAGAGGAAGGTGACATAGGGAACATAACCCAAGACAGGGCAATTGGTGGTAATAAGGGTAAATTTGGAAATTCATATGAAATAGGTGAACACAGTAATAGAGGTGGCTATGAAGAAGAGTGTTTTGTTGATGACTGGAGCTCAACAGATGAAGAAGCAGATCCTGTTGATGGTAGTGACAGAGATGATGATGAAGCCATTGCTGTGAAGGCTACTACAAGGTCTCTAAGGAGACCAACAGAAGGATTAGAAGTCCCTCCAGGTTTTAAGGGTTCAAAAACAGGGGTTAGGTACAAAACTATTGCAAAGAAACCAACTCTTAGATCTACTCCCACAAAGAAAGTAGCAGATCCAACCTGAACATCCACAAGCAGAGGGGTTCCAATAAATCCTGTTGAGAAGGCCAAAAGGAGAAAGGAAAAAGGAAAAAGCCAAGCTTGTAGAGGAGGTATAAAACATTGCCACAAGGTAGGAAGTCTTACAAGGGGAAGGACTTAATCCCTAAAAAAGGAAGGAAGGGAGATCCAGTACATCCATCCCAATCAGTTCCAGTTGATAATGATGAGAGCTTATATAGTGATAATGATGGGAGAGATAGTGACTATGCTCCAAGTGATGATGCTGGCAAGTTGAGGGACTCATCAACAGATTCTGAAGATGACATTTTTCCTGCTCTTAAAGCAGCAGATAGACCAAGAAAAGCTTCAAATGTCTACTTTAATCCTACTTGGGATGTCCCTGTTTTTTAAGTTGGAATGAGGTTTCAAAGTTCCAAACAATTCAAGGAAGCAATCAAACATTATTCTGCGAGGAAAGGATGTCCTCTTATACACATTAAGAATGAACTTAAAAGGCAAAAGTTTGTTTGCAAGGCTGGTTTGTGTAGCTGGGAGATTTATGCTTTATTTGAGAAGAGGGACAATAGTTTCAAGGTAAAGAGTTACTACCCTAAACACACTTGCAGAGATGATGACTTGTGAGATGGTGGCTGAGTACTTCAAAAGTAAAATTTATGCCACTCCTTTCATAAAATGTCAAGACATGATGACATTTGCTTATAATGAGCTTAGGGTAAATGTCAACTTCAAGAAATGTGAAAGGGAAAAAAGATTGGTTTTAAAGGAGATGGAAGGAAATTACAAAGATGGAAGGAAATTACA